GGGGGGGGGGGGGGGGGGTGTATTTTTTCTGGAGTAACCTAATAGAATAATATAAGTGCCAGGGCTTGACAAAAACATAAATTTCAGTTTGTCCTCGAGACAGGTAGCTCTCAAATTTTGCTTGCGCTGGCAAAGTCTTAGTTCACTCTTTTAATGATATTTTTGGTGCACAACTTGCCTGACCCTTTGCCCACTGGGCAAGTGAGAATGAAAATTTACTTGCCCAGAAGGGGTCTACTTGTCCGGGACAATGGGACAACACTTTTTTCAAGCCCTGTATATGTACAATAATTACATTACTAGAATAATTCTTCTAATGAGAGCTTTGCATTCTCCAACATATTGGTTGGGTGCTGTGAATAAAATTGCAAGGCATTATCACTTATGTGTGTGTATACAAGTACAATGTAAGTCACAAAGTCACTGATTAAATAGTGTGATGACTTCTTTATTACACAAAATTCAAAAACCTTCAATTCATTTTTTCAAGGCAAGCACTGAGCTATTTCTATAGATCAATGTACATGGCATATTTGGTCACTGGATTTCTGGCCCTGAAATCATGTTTATATTTAATTTTCACCTTTTTGCATCTAGCTCTTATAACTTGACTGAAAGATCCATAAGTAAAGGGTATCTGTATGGAAAATTAGGTTTGCATCAAACAAAACTGTTCAGATATTTCAGATGATCAACTTTGCATTTCACTTCAGCTATGATAGATTTCATACAAGCATCATGTATACATGTGTAGTTCAGTCTTGGATGGCCTTCCCAATGTTTTGATCCAATTGTCCAAAAAAAAAAAAAAGAGGTCATGGCCAAAAAAACACTTCATTTATTTATGCTGTTTGCCCCAAGGGAAATACAATGAAAAACATATTAATTTAACCTTCATAGACTTTCTGAAAGCTGTTTAAAACGTTCTCATTGCAGGAAAAAATGCACATGTAATGTACACAAACTCTTCAAATTATCTCTTGTAGATGTCTTTTTGCAAAAACGATACATCTACCTGTAGGATATCTCCCAATACATGCAAGACAGGTACACACACTTTATATAAAGTAGTCAACTATTAGCTAGGAAAAAAGAACTTTAAATAAATACATGTAATGTATTCTACCATATTCAAAGCAAAATTCTTTTTTGTTAAATTTACGCAAGCTAATTGTAGGTAGTTTAAAAGGTTCCTCAGCTAATGCAATTCTCTTATTTACAAGAAAAAACATCTTATGCATACATGAACACTGAAAAGTTCCAGCCAGTATGTACTTCGTGGGTGAATGTTAAAAGCTGAGTGAGTCATACATAACTTGCCTCTGAACCAAATTTGGTTTCTCGCTTGATGTACAAAACTCTCAAGCGAGTAAAGTGCAATTCAAGTGAGAAAGGTAAGGTACATTTGGTTCAACAACAGTTTATGCATGGCTTAGTTCATTTACGACATTCTCTCACAAAGAATAAATGTAACAAGACTTGATGTTGCTATGGAATTATCTAGCAAACACAACAAAAGGTGAATGAACCTCACCCCAATTAACACTATCTTTAAAAACTTCCTATCTTCAACTTCTGCTGATAACAGTAAAAAACAATTCACTTCTTACACCAACGTGAGTTTGTTTGCCAAAATTTTACATGCATGTTGTGTGGACAACATCTTGCCGACGACTTCCACAAAAATACAAGAAAGGTCAAGGAAAACAGTTTACACAGACATAAAGCTTTAACAAAACCAAGCATTTGAAAACACCTTTGAAGATAAAACAAAGATACCTTATATTGGACAGTTAAATCTAACAGATTCAAACGATAACAATGAATTCCAAAGGTAAAAAATACATCAGGTAAAGTTACAAGAGGTTCTCTAGCTTGAACACAGGATTTTCAAAACTAGCTCAAGTAAGACTCCACCATCAATGAATAAGCCATCCATCACTAACTTCATATTCTCATAAATTTGTAAATAAAAGTTGATGTTAAAATTAAGATCACTGCTCTCCGTGTGCGAGTCAAGTAATGCGTTCAGTAGAGTTCTGTGGTTTGACAAAAATCAAACGATACGTGAATAAAATCTGCAATTGATCGTTGATGTTTATATCAGATAACAAGGAAAGTATGGTAACTCCCTTCCGGAGGCAAGCCCAAACCTTTTGTATTTGATTCGCCGTCATAAATTGCTTCTTACAACGTTCGAAACTTGTGTACCGATTCCCACTGTTTAATTATATATCTTCGGAGCAAAATTTGGTATTTGTGTAACAAAAACTTGTTTTCATGCAGCTCTTTCATGTATATATAAAATACAAGCGGAAATTGACGAAAATAGATTTTAGCACGCCTAACATACCGAAAACAAGAAATGAACTTCTAAAGTCAACAACAATCACTCACAGCCAGAATGCTTTAATTAATGTGGGGTATTTTCTGATGTTATGGATGAAGGAAAGATTCGAGAAAGAGATGAACAGCATTTAAATGGATTCTTCGTTCTGGCCGCTTCAAAATCTTCGCTTGCGAAGCTTCCAAGCAAATTCGTGAAACATACATGTATACACTAGGAACTCGTGACAAATAAAGTCGGTAATAAATTTTTCAACGACTTTAAAATCAATATAAAACTTTAGTGAAACAATGTGTCATTGACCACTGTCAAACTGGTGCAAAAAGTACTTGAAAGTTCGCTTAGCGTGATGTTCGAATTGTCTACGCTAACATAAACAGAAGCGTTTGTCAAACAAAATCGACTAAATCGCGCAGTTAAGCTCCCCCAAAATTATTTATTTTAAACGAGGCTCTAGGAAGACAAGTTTAATCGATTTGTTTTCTACGGTTTCAGAGAAGAAATAGAGACTGGAATTGTATCTACGTGATGGAAATAATGGCAAATCTGAACCGCGGCAATATTGATAATTGCTTTCATCACATCCACACATCGCATAAAACTGGATCGACCGAACACAATGTTGTAGTATTCCTAAACGAATGACAAATGCATGTTTTGAAAACGGGCAAAAAGACACCGAGCACTGCCTCCAGCGGCAAGTCACACTATCTACTCCTGCAAAACCCTGACTGGCTTTGCTTCACGGTTAGTTACACAAATTTACCCTCGAAAGCCTTGGAAAATCAAGGCACTGTTTTGAAAATGGAAATTAACCGATCAGATCGGATCAAAGACTCCATCTATAAAGCAACAATTTAATATTGGACATCAAAAACAGCTGATACTGTGAATCGACCAAAAACTATTCCGGAACTCACTTTCTTCTCTTGATATG